GATAGACCAAGAAAATCACAACATTCTGCGTTGTGGAGGGAGACTTAAACACGCAGATATCAATCTAGATACCGTGCATCCATGGCTTTTACCAAAAAATCATTGGATCACAAGGTTGATTGTGTTGCATACACATCAACAAATCATCAAACATGGAGGAGTGTTAAACACACTCACACAAATCAGACAGCAGTACTGGATTCCTCAGGGAAGACAGTCAGTCAAATCAATCTTGAAGAATTGCATGATATGCCGAAGGTACGATGCAAGAACTTGCTCTTATCCAGGGCCACCACCCCTACCAAAGGAACGAGTGGTCCATCTACAACCTTTCGAAACGACAGGAGTAGATTATACAGGAGCAATATATCTAACAGGGACTGCAGATAAGCAACCTATCAAGGCATACATCTGTCTGTTCACCTGTGCTACCACCAGGGCAGTACATCTAGAGGTAACACCCGATATGACTGCTCAATCATTTATTCAAGCTTTCCGCAGATTCGCAGCACGCCGATCATGCCCTAAGCTGATGATTTCAGATAACGGAGCAAACTTGGTAGCTGGAGAAGCATGTCTACGGGAAATCTGTTCCCATCCTGCAGTTACTTCCACACTGGAACAGCGTCATTGCAGATGGAAATTTATCCCTCCGAGAGCCCCATGGCACGGAGGATTTTATGAACGGTTAATAGGAACTGTAAAAAGATCCTTGAGAAAATCTCTACACCGTCAGAAAATCAATCTTCAAGAGCTCCAGACAGTAATCACGGAAATAGAATCAAGGGTGAATAACCGGCCGTTGACTTACTTGTCTGAGGATCCTACTCAACATGAGCCATTAAGTCCTGCCCACCTAATGTATGGAAGACTTCTGACTCCAGTACCATCTCTAGCGGATGATGAGATCAGAGATCCCTCATATGTGGGTCAGAGCGAGTTGGTTCAGGGGTATAAGCATCTGTCCAGCATAATCCAAAAATGGAATGATGTTTGGACAAAAGAATATCTTACATCTCTACGAGAACATCACTATGGGGCCAATGTCCCCCATAATATAGCTAATCTCCAACCTGGCGATATTGTCTTGGTAGACAGTGATGGCCCTAGGGCTGACTGGCCATTAGGTAAAGTTGTCTCAGTCCATCCAGATAGTCAGGGGATTTTGAGAATAGTCAAAATCCTGTCTAAAGGAACAACTTCCCTGAAGACATTGGACAAACTCATCCACATGGAATCAGTGAGCCAGCTGCAGTTAGATCCTGAGAGACCTCAAGACACTCTAACTCCACAAGACCCACAGACTCCTAACAGACACAATCGTCCACAACGGACAGCAGCACAAAAGTGCAAGCAAAATCTGCACTTGTATTATCAATCCAATGGAGAGTAAATAAATACATATGGTTACTATTGTCCTAAGTATTGGACTCTGTGCCAGTTCTCTCCCTCTGGAAGATGTGGGAAATTTTTACCCACCATATCTAATAATCATCAAAGAAATGTATAATTTCTATATCATATCTAAATCATATCAAAATCATATCTAAATTGTATCAAAATCATATAATGAATCTTTAAAGATTCATTATATAGCTTGATCCTGGATGACAATGGCACCATGAACACGTACGCAACAGGGGCCCTTTTGATGCCTACGTGACTTTGTACATGATCTTTCAAGGATCCAGAAGCTTCTAGAAGGACTTCTTAATTAAAAAACTATTGGAACATTGATTCAACATCCGGTAGGATTAAAAATCGAATCCTTAATAAGAATCAGTGGTACTTTCAAATACTACTTATAATCTTTAAATCTTATATCTAATTATATTATAATCACATCTTATCTTAATCATAAGTCTAGACTGTAAAAATAATCAATCAATATTCATTGCAAGCTACCTCTCAAGGGAGAGGGGGAAGCATCTCGGGGGGCGAGAAGGGCCCACGACGATGCCTCGCGGCACTCCGCGTTTGTTTACAAATGAGTGAACAAGTGACTGATCCTTAGCGAACATTACCAGCTCAAGGACACCTTATCTAACATTTTTATCGCCAGTGAATACTCTCTAGAACTGGGGGAGTACCTGGACAATATCTACAAGGAAAATCCGTGAACATTCACATAAAATAGAGTGTATAGTGGAGATCAGTGACACGGTTTCCTCCACCTTCATTCATAAACTTTTATCTCGAATCATTCTTCTGCAACTGCAGGATAATCACGTAGCAACGCTACCAGATCATCATACAGCAACGCTGTAGCAAAATATCGTGCCTAAACTCAACAAGAGAGAGTTAATCAGTCTGGCAAACTTGTCAGACAGGCACCCCGACTGGCAGAGAAGTATATTGAAGGTTATTTGGTATATGATTGGCCAATTGTATGCTTGTGTAGCTTTAATATCCTATAAATCTGTCTGTTGGTTAAAAAGCGAGGCAAAGCCTCATTCATCGGTACATTTATTAAAATTGTAGTGTAGCTGTGAATCTTATCCAAGCACTGAACCTCATGAGTGTCCATTCTGTCAGAAAAGAATTCAGTCTCAATAAGTAAAAACCTCACAAGTGTCCACAGTCTTGGAAGAGATTCAGTCAAGCTAACTGTATAAAGTGAATATGTCTGCATATATATTTGAATATATAAATTAAGTTATCAATTGCTTGCTTAGTTATTTATAAGTTATCATATAAGTTCATTTAATTGAATATAATTTCTAGTACTTGACAGTATTTAGACTACATTTAAGGTCATTTATTATACTTTTACAATTTAATTTGTTGTTTATAGTATAAGAATCTATTGGCTGTAAGTTATGGTGCTAGGTTAGACTATGTATGTTTAAATCCCTGATTTAAACAGAGCCAGTGTTCAGTCATACAACTGAATTTATCAAATCTTATCCTTGTATAAAATACAAGCTGATGTGAGATCCCTGTCTACAGGTGGATTGGAACTTCTATCAACATAGTCATTCACCCCACCTGTCCCTTACAGCCCACAGTCTGTCATTAGGAAAAGAGGATTTAGGATTTACAACCCTAGCTAGAGATTTTAATTGAATTAATTTGCAGACAGTAATTTTTAATTTAGTTCAGTACAAGTCCCTGGTAGTCTCCTCTTATATCAATCCCAGCAGGTTTTTCCCACAATATTAATTTTTGTGAATATTTTGACATTCTATATACAGTATATATATTTTTCAAAATTCTTCATCTATTTTTTAACATAAGATATAAAATATGGAAATGTGCACACATGATTGGTCAAAATCACATTAAAGAGGTGAACATATTTTTATACTTTTCCAGCGGGTAATTTGCATGACAATCATGAAGGGTATGACAATCATCGAAGTTGCTTATCTTCCCTATTATCTTAGCATCATCAGCAAACATGTTGATATAATTCTGTATTCCATCTAGTAAATTGTTTATGTAGACAAAGAACATTACCGGTGCAAGAACTGAACCCTGTGGTACTCCACTTGTGACATTTCTCCAGTCCAATATGCTTCCTCTGATTACAGCCCTCATTTTTCTATCAGAAAATTTTTCATCCATGTTAGTAGCTTACCTGTCACCCCTCCAATATGTTCCAGTTTCCAGAACAATCTCTTATGTGGAACTCTGTTAAAAGCCGTTTTTAGGTCCAGATAGGTGCAGTGAACCCAACCATCTCTTTCCTGTAAAATCTCTGTGGCTCGATCATAGAAACTGAGTACTGTAAATTCATCACACAGGATCTTCCAGATCGAAAACCATATTGACTGTCTGATATTATATCTTTTTCTCCAGATGTTCTACTCATTTAGTTTTTATTATTTTTTCTAATATTTTAACTATTGCACTTGTCAGCGATACAGGTCTATAATTGAGGGGATCTTTCCTGCCGCCACTTTTGCAGATTGGAACTATGTTAGTCTTTTTCCCACACATCTGCTACGACTTCTGTACACATGGATTCTATAAAAATCAGTTGAAGTGGAATGCTGAGTTCGGGTGCATATTCTCTCAGAACCCATGGTGAAACTCCATCTGGGCCCAACTGTTTTGTTCTTACTTAGCTCCTTGAGAACCTGGGGGCCAGATTCACGAAGCGGTTATGCAAGTACTTACGAGCTTGTACATCTTTCCTCAATCTTTGATGGCTTTGATTACATTTATTAATTAAACAGCTTACAAGCATGAAAACTTGCCAATCAATTGTTGTTATTGTTATAAATAGCCTCCTGGTGCTTCGGAGCTCATTAACTGTTTAATAATTGTAAACAAAGCCGCCAACGATTGTAAAAAGATGTACAGGTTCGTACATCTAGCGTAACTGCGTAACTGCTTCGTGAATCTGGCCCCTGGTGTACAGGTTCATGAGCCTATTGAACTCAATCACATCTACATTTGAAACTGTGTATGGAGTCAACCTCCACCACATCACTTCCTAATGCCACCACATCGACTCCTAATTTACTACTGGCACTGAAAAAGACCTTTTTAATGTCCCTGTGTCTCATTTGGGTGCTCTGTTTCCCGTTGTCCCCCCTTGTGCGAGTACCACCTGTATTAAATAATGTCCTTATCTAGGTGTATTCACATTTGTTTCCACTTAGCCATTTATCTAAGGTGTGGCAGAGCACAGGGCAAATGAATACATTTGATAAATCGGTAATTATGTCTTGTGTAATCTTATATGCTGCACTCTCTTGATGTATCTTGCATTATTTCTTAAATATTAATGTATTTAATTCTATTTCAGATCAGAGTTTTTATTAAATCTATGCTGTATTTCATGCCCAGTTTCTATGCATTCTTATTGCAGACGATGAATAACAATAACGTAGCTAGAGATGTTACCGAACCACACATCAGAAGATGAAGAAACGACGTTTTGGTTCGTCCTGGACCATTGTCGTGTCGATTGTCGTCATTTATTCATCTGATGATGTGCAGTTTGATAATCGTGCATTCTTATTGTCTGTAAATTTGTTGTCATATAACAGGAGTTGGTAGATGACCCACGATCTCGTAAGGCACAGTTTATGATGACACACCTCATGTCCGAGCACCGTGCAGCTCTGTCGCAGCGTCTCACTCAGCAACGCTTCAGGATTCCCGACTCTTTGCACGATGATGAGCTGCAGCTGTTGAATAGCTTGGAGAACTCTCAACTAAATTCTGTTCCACCCGAAGTTGTGCAGCAGGTATAGTCTGTTTTTAATTGTGTTGCCATTATCTTTGTTCTCATATCTCTTGACATATGAAATACTACGCTCTTGGAAGTTCTCTTACCCGTCGCATAAAACTGGCAAGTGATAAATAACCAAATATATGCTTGTCATAATTTTCTTCACCAAAGGGGAGCCGGTCGGCCAAGCGGACAGCACGCGGGACTTGTGATCCTGTGGTCCTGGGTTCGATCCCAGGCGCCGGCGAGAAACAATGAGCAGAGTTTCTTTCACCCTATGCCCCTATTACCTAGCAGTAAATTAGGTACCTGGGTGTTAGTCAGCTGTCACGGGCTGCTTCCTGGGGGTGGAGGCCTGGTCGAGGACCGGGCCGCGGGGACACTAAAAGCCCCGAAATCATCTCAAGATAACCTGTTTTTCCCATTTCTCGGCCCTTTTTAACTCGCTCAGTTTGTTTCTTTGTGAAAATATTGCCCTTAAATTGAGTTGCCAGATGCAGCAAGACAAAGAATATTTATGTATGTAAAATGCAAGGGTTTCCTTCCATGGGGGGGAAGGGAGAGGATGATAGACAGGAACTGTCATTGCCCAAAGCATTTCAGAAGGTCATAAATGTCAGGTGTGTTTGAAGATTATTCGGTAGTCCTGCAGGAATACTTTTTGTAAACACTGAAGAAGAAGAAGAAGGAATTGTTAATTACTGTACTTCTTATTTGTAGATGTTCTTCTGCAACCCATTTTACATTTTTACTCTAATAGTTTTCATCAGAACATGATTTGCCAATCCTATTTTCTTGTGGGTGGTGTGCCTAATAACCAGAACTGCACTACTTGGCTTAATATGCAAGGTCTAATTTGCCTAACAGTCCAAATGATTTCTGTTATTTTCACAGATTTCTTTCAAGATTGGAGCTTTTCTAACAATAATAATATATTAAGAACATGAATTACTGACTTATGTTTGGTTAAGTTCGATCAAATTTTTGTTAGTTTCGACTAAAATAACATAAAATTCCAATCATATATAATACTTGACGTTTTATCATTTCATAAGAAAACTTTTGGAAAAATTTAGTATTTCACAAAAGTTTGGCTTGTTAGGCAATTCTAGCTATTAGGTATAACATGGGTACATGGATAAGCAAACTGCAGAAACAGTGCCTTAATCAGTCCACCCTATTTAAGATATGAACTCAAGACCTCTTGCTAATAATAATAATAATAATAATAATAATAATAATAATAATAATGAACAAATCCACAAATTTATTGATCCACAAATCCACAAATTTGATGAGGGTTCAAACCTACGCACGGGATGTTCCTGTGCGAATCCCTTGTGGATTTGTTCATTTGATATATCACGTTATTGTGATTTCTGTGTGTAATAATACTAATAATAATTAATACTAATAATAATTCATTGTGTCAAGGGATAGGAAGTGAGGTTATACTGTACATACAGCACATGTTAGGCTTGAAACCTCAAGCCAATTGAAGACGTATATGAGCCACTGATAAAGGTTTTGACCATGTCGGAAGAATGACATTAAAAATAATGCCACAGAAATGGCTGGAATCGTGCCATTATCATTAAACACAAGTAAATCCATACTGCTATTTCAACATTAGGAATGAAGAAAAAAAAGAGACAGAAGCCTTGGGGGATGAAATGTCTTAGGTCTATTCTCAAACTTTAATTAAATGGGGTAAGATAGGATGATTTTTCGGTGTGTTTGAGAGTTTGCCCTTTCGGGTCCAGGTTGCAGGGTGGAGCGCCTTACCTTGGGTGTTGCATGAATGCTGAAATTTTTATTAAGCAGAACTGTCTGACTTCAAGCCGTATAGCAGAGCTGAGGTCCTCTCTCTTGATAGTGTTCCCAGCTCATACGTATATATAATTTTGTACTACAGTATGTGCAAAAATCACAAGCTTAACACTAGCAAGTGTATAATATATAATCACGCTTTTATCACATTTCTATAAACATCCACTCTTCAAGTTATAGGTGGATTCTGAAGAATGACTACCAGAAGTCCAAAACTACAGGCAGTGGTCCTTGAACACTGGACACAGCAGTGACACCGGAGCGGATTGTCTCCTGATGGAAAATTAGCAGTCACTCTTCCCCTTTCTTCCCAGAAAGGGGAAGAGATTATTCATAAGAATAATTCTTCAACTAATCATCATTATGCAAATAACACTGCATGCAACATAGTAAAATCCCATATTATGCAAGTTACAGCTATTCAACTGCCATTGGACCCCAGATCTGCAGCCGCTAAAACCTGTTCCTCAATCCAGCACCGTGTACATTGGATACCAAGCAACCACCACCACCACCACACAGTAATCTAGGAAAAGTGCAAAAAATTACTAGAAAAATTCTCATCATGAGAATCCGATGTGCAACTCCTAGAGATCATCAATAGACAAGCAAAGACTGCTACCAACACGTTTACAAACAATCCCGCTAGCAGAAACCGTGAGAGATGACAGTGATCATTCATTCACAATAGATGGGCTCCAAGCAGCAAGAAGGAAAAGCATTGACATGGCTCTTGGAGGAGATATGGTAACATACTTAATGATTGATCATTCTAGAGGGATAGGGCAATGATTAGACCTTATCACCAAGTCCCATAAAAATAACAAGCTCTGAAATAAGTGGAAGGAAGCTGATGTTATTCCAGTTCTCAAACCAGGTAAAGTGGACAAATGTTTTCCTGTTTCACTACTGTCCTGCACAGCCAAGATGAGAGAAAGAATGAATCTCAGTAGACTCAAATGAAAAATTGCCCCATTTCATCGAAATATACAGTGCTATAATGGGATTCAAAAAAGGCATCGGAACATCCAACTGTTCTGTGTGGACACCAAAATGCCAAATTCCTTGTCTTTCTAGACTAGAAAAAGCTTTTGAGTTTGCAAACCCTCATGCCAACCCACATTTGTTAATTGGAAAGGAGGTTAGGGGTAATTTACTGAGCTGGGTGCATAATTCCCTCATTGATTGAAAGAGCAAGAGTTTCAATTCTAAGGTCACGTCTCCTCATACAAGACCAGAAAATGGCACACTGCAAGGAGATGTTCAGTCCAAGTCTGTTTAATATCTTGATGGAAACGCTCGTCATGATCAGGTTGCCATCTCACAATAACTTCATCATCTGTGCCGATGATCTGGTCCTCATATCAAGTGGAGATCATTCCCTTCAAGAAACTTAACAAGCTCTCTACAGAATAGGGAGCCGGTCGGCCGAGCGGACAATACGCTGGACTTGTGATCCTGTGGTCCTGGGTTCGATCCCAGGCGCCGGCAAGAAACATTGGGCAGAGTTTGTTTCACCCTATGCCCCTGTTACCTAGCAGTAAAATAGGTACCTGGGTGTTAGTCAGCTGTCACGGGCTGCTTCCTGGGGGTGGAGGCCTGGTCGAGGACCGGGCCGCGGGGACACTAAAGCCCCGAAATCATCTCAAGATAACCTCAAGATAGTTGTCTAGAATTATGGATTAAAATATCAATTAAAAAATCTAAAGCCATGTACTGTGCAAGATCTGACCTACAAATGCACTTCACCTGGCCTGACGGCTGAGTGTACAGAGCTCGGGATTCGTAGTCCTAAGGTTCCGGGTTCGGTCCACGGCGGAGGCAGAAACAAATTGATAGTTTCTTTCACCCTGATGATCCTGTTCACCTAGCAGTAAATAGGTACCTGGGGGTTAGACAGCTGCTACGGGCTGCTTCTTGGGGGGGATGTGTAACAAAAAGGAGGCCTGGTCGAGGACCGGGCCGCGGGGACACTAAGCCCCGAAATCATCTCAAGATATCCACCATACAAAATGTAGAGCAGGAATTAGTAACAGACTACAAATACTTAGCAATATAGAGGGACATGGAGAAGAACCTTTGACAAGCAAATAAGATGCTTGAAGGTAAGAACAGCTTATAGACTTAACATAATGGCAGTTATATCTGGACATGAGATTGATGACAAAACATCTTTCTCAGGTCATCTTTCACTCATGCAATCCAATCTATTCTAGACTGTGCAGCTCCTGCCCTGATCTCTCTTTCCAATAGAAGAATCAAAACCCATGAAACTCTTCAAAAACAGTGCCCTAAGGAGAATCACAGGGTCACCAAAATGGACATAAAACTGAAAATCTGTACTTCAAAACAAATCTAGGACCACTTAGAACTAGAATCCAAGCCCTAGCAGTCAAGATCTATAAAATTGATATCAGATGTGGCTGCCAGAAGAGGTTCATAGGCGGCATAAGAAACACAACCGTACTGCAAAGTAGTGAACCATGGATGCCTGCACTACTCAAGAACTTTAAATACAATCAAGTGTATTGCATAGACCATCCAACAAACCTGACTGTATTGCATAGACCATCCAACAAACCTGACTGTATTGCATAGACCATCCAACAAACCTGACTGTATTGCATAGACCATCCAACAAACCTGACTGTATTGCATAGACCATCCAACAAACTTGACTGTATTGCATAGACCATCCAACAAACTTGACTGGTCCAACAAAATGGACCTGACTTACCTACACCAGGCTACAACTTACCACTCCCTTGGGCTCCTCATGCTGTGGAGCTGAAATTAAACTTAATAAAATCAAGGAAGGAAATGTATTATCCACACTATCTCAAAGCCCTAGTCTTAAATTAATGATGCACAGTATATCCCCTCAATGCAGTTACGTACTACACTGATGGCACTGTAGATCAACAATCCACCCATGCAGCAGCGGGATTCTACCCCCCCTCCCCCCCCCCATTCTGTTCAGTTAGCCAATGAGTGACAATGCCTCCACATTTCAGATGGAAATGCTATCAATGATGATCGTTGATCCAGGATAAGTGGGTAAAGCAATTATAGCTTTGCAGTGGTATTAAACATGTGAAATGTGTGTGAAAAGCTGTCTGCTGATGCAGAAGGTGCACAGGTGTATGTTTCAAATTCTTTATACTGTAGATTGTCCAGGACAATTGTTTATCTCGAACAAATTTATAATGCTGATGAGAGATGTTTCCTCTCATCTTGTCAAATCCTTCCCACTGTACTTAGTAAACTAACGAATATAGAATTCTTACACTTGCCATGTTATTTTTATTTACAGTGGTACAGTAACAGATCTTCTCTAGTCCTCTTGCACATTACCACTATTCCATGCTTCTTAGCAGAGTCTTCGTGCCCACTCCATTCATTTTTCTCTATAACATTTAATCCACTCCATTCATTTTTCTCTATAACATTTAATAATTTTTGTATGTGTCTAATGTTTCCGCAGTTTAGCGTCCTCAAATTGTTAAAATGAATGTTCTTGCAGGTTCGGGAAATTCTTGCTTTGGAGCAGAACGGGAATACCAGAGCATGGGAGGAGGTAACCTTTTCCCTGAATGACCTTCTGAATGCTGACTCCGATCACGACCTGGACTGTCAGATAATATCCCCACCGCCACGGGATCCCGCCTCCACCATCACCATCCACGACTCAGACTCGGAAATGGAAGATCTCATTCAAGGTGAAGGCGAGAGTGAACATGAAGAGGATGACCACGAGCCAGAAGAAAGAGAGCACGAAGATGACGACCATGAGGATAGGGAGAGTGATCGTGAAGATGAAGATCAAGAAGATGAAGACGAGCATGAAGACGAAGAGGAGGAGGAAGATGAAGATGAAGAGGAGGAGGAGGAGGAGGAGGTGCAGCACCAAGTGTCTGTCTCGCCAGAAAATGTCGAGTCAAGTGACACTAGAACCTCAATCAGTAAGAGAGAAGTGGCCACACCCCACAGTGGCAGCAAACCCTCAGGTGCTCCCTTACAGATGCTGCCGCCTATTCCCGTAGAAGTGCCACTGTGCGTTATGGAATCCCTAGCTAGTGGCCCTAACAGTACTAGAGATCTAACAAACCAGGTGTCTGATGCCACACTAAATTTGATAGCCTCAAGTCAGCCACCTTTAAATAGCCAAAGGCCGGCAGCTGAAAACATCTCGGTGCCTGGACCCAGTTCGCTTCTTTTGGCTCCGCCTAGACTAAAGGTAATGTTGACGACTTTACACATAGCTTTCATAATCACATCTCTCATGGGCTCTCTCGTGTAAATTGGATGTCGGGCAGTCATTTTTTCCAGAAAGTGTCAGAGTTAAAAATGTATATACAACAGAGAAATTAATTCTTAATTTATTAATTACTAACCCTGCATTAAGAGACATGAAAAGAACGCAGTATTTCCCTTGCTCGGCTATTTACAAATAAACATTTAATTATTTTTGTAATTTTTAAATGCTTAAATATTTTACTCAATTGCTTTATGAGGAAAGTTTAAATACATAGGGAGATTGGGAGTTGAGAGCTAGACTTATGATTTGGTGCCTTATGCAATGTGATGCAGCTTTTATATCACTCCTCAGGTAAAGGAAGAACGTCCATCGCCCATCAGTGAATGTGGCCTCTGCATGCACAATCCACGAACGCCTCACACCTCAGAATGCGTATACCCTTATGGCCTAGCTCCTCCGTCTCCTGTGGCACTGATGCCCGGGCCCCCACGGCCCTTGGGCACCACACCGCCACAGAGGCCAGTCCCCCACATGCCAGCCACTCAGCAGCCTCCTGCCGTCCCACTCTCATCGACTCATTACCAGAGGTCTATCAAGCAGGAGAAGCTTGATGGTTAGTTCAGGATAACTTTGTAATTAATGCTATGATATGGTTTTAATGTGTGATTTCTTCCATTTCTTGTTATACTTTTAGTACAACTATTTCTGGGGAGTTCCCTTGTAGTTCCCTGAAGTTACTAGGTCACATCAGCCATGGAGATCTGTTGGCCTACCGGGGACCAAGAGCCAGAGTCTGGCCCTCCTCACAGAGATGTAAGGAGTGATGACACGTATTTATTTATTTATTGATGCCACCCAGCAGCCGCGTCCAACAGCCTGGTCGACGACCGGGCCGCGGGACGCTAAGCCCCAGAAGCACCTCAAGGTAACCTCAAGGTAAGGTAACCACCAGGGAAGGAACCCAGAAAGTCAGCAAGACAAGAGACCAGTGATGATATCACAAGAGACTACAGCCTCAAGAACCACCAAAAGAACTCCTACAACAATGTAAACAAACGATTGAAATCTTTTGAATCTAGAGCAGGCTTGTTTGGCCCACCTTCCCCATTGGTTTGGGGGAAAGGTAGCTCATGGTCCAACCTGTCCTCTTAAAAAGAACGTCGCTTTTGGACGTTTGCCCGTATGGCCGAATTTGGACGTAATTTGAAAAAGAAAAAAAAATTAAAATAAATTTAGGATTTCTTTTTTCAACAACAGTAAGTTAAGGGTCCTCTGATAGGTTAGGTGGGCAGGAAATTCTCATAAAGTTTCAAAACGTTATGAAAAACGTGAATTTAAAGTGTCCTCTTATAACCTCTGTGTGTAAGCCGGACGACTCAAATAGAAAACGGAACAGAACGTCACTTTTGTGAGTCGATTTCATTTCAAATTACGTCCAAATTTGGCCATATCGCGCATACGAGCCAAAGTGACGTTCTTTTTAAGAGGACGGGTTGCATGGTCAGCAGGCATCTTCATCCTCAGTTCTATACTGATGTAGGGTGTGCTTGACCGCCTCTCTTCAGCTCTGGCTCCAGTGTCTTGGCATTCAACTAAGTAGTGTTTTTTTTGCCTCTGTGGCTCTGCCTGTACACTGTTGTGTAAGGTTAGCAAGAAGTTAACAGTAGTTGGAGCTGCATGTGTGCAGGGTTATCTTGTGTGCTCCTTAGTGCTGCCCTTGCATTGCCACGGTTTTCCTCCCTGCACCCTGATAAGGTATCTTTTGGAGGTGTTTATCGAATTCTCTCTTGAACACCATGAGAGAGCGGCCAGTTACGCCTGTTATGTATAGTGTTGAAGAGTCCTGGGTCCGCCTCCAACGGGGATCAAACTTGGAACCTCACGAGTACGAATCCGAAGCGCTGTCCACTCAGCTGTCAGGCCCCTAATAATACCTTAGGAACTGCACCAGACCTCAGAACCCCTCACTGACCTACTGGAAGCTAGGACCCGAATCTGGCTCTTTACAAGTTGAGGCAGAATGTGGATCACAGATCTACCCTAAACCTAGAAAAATCCACCAAAACGGTCAGAGAAAACAAAACAAAGAGACCCCTCTGAATGAAAGAAATGAGCCCTGAGGCAGGCAAGGCAACCAGTTGTCACAGTGAGCGAGCAACCCTTACCATAATGGGCCTGAGTACTACTACTAGCAGATGGTAGTAGTAGTAGTCGGGCACAGGTCACCCTAGAGTCCCGGTCAGCCATCTACATCACTCGCCTGGTGTAGTCCAGGTCGGACAACTTCCGCAGATATCCCTGAGCTGCTTTCTTGCTCAATTAAGTGGTGTTGGTCATCCCTAAAACTTCTCTTCCATGTTTTGTTCTTGTTTCATTTATGTTTCATGGTTGTGCTTCTTGCAAGCCACATTTTGCATCCAATGGCATTTATTTCACTCCAAAACATACCGGTAACTAAAAATTGTCTACTGGGAAGATATAGAAAAATTTCAGTCAGGTTCCACCAAGAGTATTGGATGCAAAACATGTCAGAACTCCTCGTGTAATGGAGTGACTATGTCAAAGATCTTAGAATAATATTGTCAGTCCTAACTAATACACATAACAAAATAAGCATACCAACAGCCAGGAAAATAATTTTGTTTATAATCTGAAAATTCAAAACCCAGGATGCAACACCAATGACAGCATGACTTTCAGTGCATCAGTGCTGTCTCGTACAAACTATTACTCAGTCCTCACAATCCGTTTCGAGGCAGGCGAGATATTTGACGTCCACAACTCTTCAATCTCCTGTCAACCCATAGACAAAATATCACTGGACTGATGGAAATTCCTGCTCGAGTTAATAGTCGAGTCTAATTGTGCTGGCTAGACTAATGGGAGTAAGAAACAAAATTCTAACTGAGAATATGTGTAGAGGTAACCCACAGGTAAGACTGCTACCACTGCCTCCACCATATAGTTATTACTGGAACCTGTAGTTACTCGACTCCTCTGGTCTCATTACAACACTTTGTGTTCTGAAAAAGCTTGTTCATAACACTCAACACCACCTCCAGTTAAACTATATTTTTGTTTATTATTATTACTGATTTCTTGTACAAGTCTTTGTAGCTTATTGAAATTACATGTATATGTTTGCAGCATATTATATTTTTGTACAAAAAACTGTTTAAAGAATTGAAATTGACATAATTTAAATATTATATTGAGGCTATGTAATTTTAGGTAAACAAATATCAAGGCATGTTGAGCTAATTGTATTCCTTTATCTTGCCCACAGACTCGTATCTGAAGTACGAACATGTAAAACGGCCATCCTCCGAAGAGCGTCCAAAGAACCCTGCTCCTCCTGATGCACTACCTCTTCCTCCTCCTGCCCAAGGCCTACACCATCCTCCACATCCAAGGCCACTCATATTCTCTCCTGACAATGATTTCCCGGATCCTCCGCGTCCACCGCCACCTCCGCCCCCGCAGTTCAGTCCACGCATCAAGATTGAGCGACATACACCTGTCCAGTTCATGTGCTGCTGCATGCGAAATGAGTGTGAACGAAGCAGCACGCACAGTGCAGAGATGCGGCCACCTTCCCGCCGCAATGGAACTACTCCACAACCTACAGAAAGAAGACCAACGCCACATCTGTACAAAATGGAACCACCGTCCCCTTGTGCCTCACTGGCCAGAACTCCACACCAAAGTCTTCCTGGCCACTTTGCACCACCAGCTTCACCTCGTTGTCATAGTAATACAGTGGCAGCTGACGCTAGAGTTACTGTTGGTGTACAGACCGAGAAGGAACGACTTGTTCCAGCATATGACCAATCCAGTAATAATAATAATAATAATACTAATAACAATAATAATAATAACAATAATAATAAAAGACAGTATGTTCCTAACTTAAGTTTAGCAAGAAGTGTAACACCATTAGTTACTATTAAAGTGGATCAGAGTACAAGTACAGAAGATTTAGGTGGTGCATGGGAGCAACAACAGCAACGTGGGAAAAGCAGAGGCAAAGGTTGGTGGTGGCATCGTAATGGCCGCCCTAGAAACCACCTCAGTCAATTAACTTCTATTTCAAATTCTTTAAGTGATTTTGAATTTAGTCAGGATGCAGGAATTGCATTGCAGCAAATGATGGTTTTCAGTGAGCAAGAAACAGAATTTGTCCGACACTTGGAAAGCATTGATCAAGAAATACACGAGCTCATGCGGGAGAAAAAGCGAATGACTGAGGAACTGGGACGCCTCCAGCATCTCCGTATAGGTAAGCTACAACAGCTAGTAAGACAAGGTGGCGCTAGTAGTAGCATAACCGGAGCTGTGGTCCCTAGAGGAGAGCCTCCCGTACTGCGAGGAACTTGTAGCGACATAAGACCGCCACGAACTCTTCATCAAGACTCTAGCTCAGATGGGGGTGATCATATGGATACTAGTAATTCTACCACCACATACAATATTGAAAATATTTCACTTCGGTATGGATTGTCTAAGGAAGACGTTTGTGTTCAGTCTACAACAGATAATGCCTCGGTTGTAACTTCTTCACAAGAAAAGGGCCCAAGGGTACGCTCTTTTAGTTTCTCTCACACTTCCTCTAATGACTCCAGCAATGAATCTCAGACTGTTAGAAGACAAAGATGTACATCCACGTGTCATTCTCCAGGCAGAAGCTTGAAATCTAAAGAAACTCTTCAAATTACTTATCTTGGTCCCATTAATCCTAACGAAGAATTTTATCAACAAATAGCCAGTAACATTCATAAACTGCAACAGTCCATTTCTAATACAGATTCAGAAACTGACAATGATGTAAAAACTTTGGAGGTTCCCGTTGAAAGTTCAGAGGCAAATGTATTTTATAAAACCGATGTCAGAGAAGCAACAAGTAGGAATAGAAGTAACTCTTTGTCTAGTTCAGCTGAAGGTGACATTGAAAGTGAAGTTCCTATTGATCATGATGAGGAAGAGGAGAGAATACCAAGACGAAGGCACAACCTGTCTACTGATGAAGGCGAAGCTGTTGTCGATTCCTCTGAGCAGCTTGATAAAATAGACAATGATTCTTCTCAAGGAGATACTGAAGACCAGTCTGTAGAAAAGCCTCAGGATGCTGAAAAAGAATTAAGTGTGCACATTTGTCAACAAGTAGATAATGGAGAAATTAAGAAAGAGGAGGAACTGAAATATTCTCAAGATGCAGGGTCATCTGAACCAGGGTCATCTGAACCATCTCAAGAAGCTGAGTCATCTCAAGCTATTCAAGAGTCTGAATCAAGTTCAGTGTGTAAAAAATCTGAGTCTCCAGAAGCAAATGACTCGACTGAAGTGTACCAAGGGCCTTGTCAGATGGAGATGTCAGTATTAGACGAGAAACCTGCGTTAACTGAAGCTTGTGAAGAAATAGGTTTTGCTCAAGCAAACAGTGCAACGGAGAAACGGGAATTCATCGGCACTTCAAGGAAAAGTTGTTCCTCTTCCTCATCGTCCCCAGCATCGTCACCAGACAGCCAGAAATCTAGAAATTCTTCGGGTGAACATTGTTACAGTTTGAGGTCTCGAGGCCCACCGAGTAAGATTAAGCAGAAGCTGTTAGGAAACGTTGAAGTGAATAATGACGTGCAAGAGGAGAACTCTGTGAAAACTTCCTTGGGTAAAGCTAGTGAGAAAGTGGGAGGAGAAGATGGACACGCAGATGACGAACGCGAGAAAGAAGATGAATTTAGCAGATTCCCACATTTGGAAGGATCAGATGGCGGTGCGGAAGAGAAGAAAAGGAAACGAAAACGAAAAACAAAGAGACACAGAGTGAATAAACGAAAAAAGAAGAAATTACCAGAAAAGAATGGAAGTAATTCACCCATTACAGTTAGTGCCAAGAGAAAATTGCCATTATCTACATCAGTTACTACTTCTCACAGTTCTTTAACTTTGTTGGAAAAAGATGTTACTGACTGCAATTTAGACATTGATGAAATCATGGACAGTTCTGGAGATGAACACGTATTCGTGAGCCCCCCGTCTCATGGTTGTGCAGTGCTGGATATTAAGGTGAAATGTCAACAAATATGTTGTGTAATATGAAATATTTACAATTTGTTTACATTTGCTATATTGTACTGTCCATTTCTCTCACAGCAGCTTTCTTGCACTTGCCTTCAGCTTTATATTTTCAATTTGGGGAAATAAATGCAATGTGCTGCCAGAATTCCATCATTCAGGCCACATATAAGTCATGGAATATATACCTGGAGAGGGTTCTGGGAGTTCTTCTCGCCGAGCCTAGCCTGAGGCCAGACTCGACAGAGTATATCTTTGCTTAAGATAGATATAATTCAAGTAATCAATGTACCATGCTTTTGTCTGCTAGTTTACACTTGGGGACGCACTATTTACACGCCATAGCAGGGATCCATATGCAAAGTGTTCTCAAGGCAGTCTTACCCTTGCATAAATCCATATGGTAATGAGACTCCTTCACACCTACTGAACTCTCCCAGTTCGGTCTGTCTTTATATCATCCTTACTGTGACATTAGACTTACAACAAGAGATTATATTTTATCTTTATAATATAGACTTGACTACAAAAAGGAATGTTATTACTGTGACGGTGTGAGAAAGGTTTTGAAGGTTTAACGTGCAGCATTAAAAATCATATGTTGTTTTTCTATATTCATTTGCAATATCTAGGGAGTAAATATATAAAACGTGCAAAGTGAATGGGAATAGACATAGGAAAACTGTTGGTCAACATCATGTCAATAAAATGAGAAAGTGTTGATAGGGGGATGTACAGTACTGGCATGTGGGGAAAATATTTTCTTCTGGTGAATGATATCAAATTATCATATTTTAAATTTGCAGGTTGTAGGAGATTTTGTGATAACTGCGTCAAGTGATGGTACTGCAAGATGTTACAACATGATTTCAGGGCGTGTTATGGCCACATACGTCGACCACACCGACATTGTGACGTGTGTCGGAGTGGTTGGCAAACCCGATTTTGAAACGGATTCTCAAGAATTTCAGGTTGTAACAGGATCGGCAGACAAAACCATATGCATATTTAATGGAAAGGTAATACTGTCCACTTACTGTACTCTCACTCGTGTGTTTGGTGTATAGCTAACGTTCTTCAAGTTATTGACTTTGGCTCATAATAGTAATGTTTCCTTTAGAAGTACTATAAAGGAACCTATACCATACTGGGGGAAACTAAAAAATTCTCCAAACATAGTGTTCTTGTGTATTATTTATAGTCATACTCAGAAGCCAACTATACCACTGGTGGCTGCATGCAGCTAAGGCTATACTAGCATGGTGCTTTTGAGACTATTTACATTATTACTACACCACAATTGTTGTATAATATGATTATAATTTATTATCTAATACAGTACAGTGGTACCTCGGAATGCGATTGTCCCTGTATGCGAGATTTTCGGAAGGCGAGGTGTATTTACTCCAAAAATTTGTCTCAGAAGGCGAGGGTTACTTCGGGAGGCGAGTTTGGACGCGAGTTTGTTGATACGCGTACAGCCGACCTAGCGCGTTCGTCGCCCCTCCGCCCCTCAGTTTATTATTGTCTCGCGCTCAGTGACTACCCCCACATCAATTCTTCTCGCGGATTTTCAGTGTTTTGTTGGATTTTTGGTGATTTGTCTATACAATTTGTTATTATATATCTCACCATGGGTCCCAAGAAAGCCAGTGGTAAGGATAAAGGCCAGAAAGCTCATGTGAGGATGACAATAGAGGAGAAACAAGAGATCATTCGGAAGCATGAGAACGGTACACGTGTTGTTGAACTTTGTAGGCAGTACAACAAAGCCACATCAACAATATGCACTATACTTAAGAAGAAAAATAAGATTATGGGTGCTAAAGTGGCAAAAGGAGTAAGAACATTAACGGCACAAAGACCACAAATACTTGAAGAAGTGGAAAAGTTGTTATTAATTTGGATACACGACAAGGAGTTGAGGGGTGATAGTGTTTCGGAGGCCATTATTTGTGAGAAAGCCAGGGTGTTGCACGAAGACCTTCTAAAGAATACCCCTGCAACGAGTGATGCAGATAAGAAAGAGTTTAAGGCAAGCAGGGGCTGGTTTGAAAAATTTAGAAAGAGAAGTGGTATCCATAGTGTTACAAGGCATGGGGTTATGTGATGTGATTATGGAAGGGGACTCCCCTTCCAAACAGTAACTCCTCTCCTCCTCCCCCCTCCTCACCATCTTCCATACGCCTACAGCACTCGACAGCAAGGTAAGTAATAACTGGAACACAGTTTTGTAGGTTTATTTAGATGAATTAGGTAAATTAGGTATAAAAATTTAGTTTGATGTGGGGTTTTTGGGGTAGTCAGGAACGGATTAATTCATTTCCCTTTATTTCTTATGGGGAAATTAACTTCGGAATGCGAGTTTTCGGAAGGCGAGGCGTCTCCAGGAACGGATTAAACTCTTATTCTGAGGTATGCCTGTATTAGAAATTGTGAGAATGTGTCTTTTTGTCTCACACAGAGATTCATGTCACTCGTGTTTGCAAGAAACTTTCTAACACATACTCATGCCTGTATTATGGTCTGTTAACTAATACAGTTGTGTTATTCTAGACTGGCATAGCAAAGCAGCACTGTAAGGTTGGCGAGGGCGTACGGTGTCTTGACATATCTTGGGGCCAACTCTTTCTTGGCACGGAAGGTGGCTGTGGAGCAAGATGGAACTTCAAGGTAAATACCACCATTAGGGATTGACTGGTTTGATTATATGTAACCCGGAGCTGTTAATAACAACTCATTAGTGTATTGTAAACTCAGTGAAAGAGTTTAGCTGTGCATAAAGCATCCAGTCCTTCAATACTTTTCTCATATATATATATGGTAATTAAAATAATGGAAAAATATGAACATAATTAGCAGGTTGTATGCGTCTGTCTGTCTGTGCAAGTGTTTTTGTTTTATTTACTTCATTTCTATCATTAAGTCTTGGTTGTTTTTCTTGTTTGTCTTCCTGTTTGTGCATTTGCTTATAATTACTATTGCAATTCCTATCTTTACACTATTTCATGCTTGCACTGCTTTTCTAAGACTCTGTTTTTGTTGGCTCTCGCTTCCAGTTATTGGGTTTGGGAGCCTCAGGAACAATGAGTTCTATTTTTTTGTCCCTGGAAGTGGTTTCTTAGTCTGCAGCTTTATTTTTTAGCTAGGTCTGAGACAGCTAGCTTTCAAGGAATAGCAATAAACGTTGCTTTCACAATAATCGTTGATTATTGATTCTTGGTTCGTTGTGCCGAGGCTGCTTCTTTCTTGTGTCCTGTTGCTGCTGTCTGTTGTTGTTTGCGCGCACCTCCCAGGCTCTTCGGGGTACGGCATTGTTTGTCCCAGTGTCCTTGGTTCCTAAGTCCAATGCCCATTTTTCTCAAGTTGTCCATTGTGTCGTCAAGTTTGACGGCACAATGATCATTGTGTCATCAAACACCCCTCAGACCCATGATGATCATTGGTTTGTGGCATTGTCCGCTGTGTCTTCGAATATGTCCTGGGTTGATGTTCAGGCTTGGGAGGTTGTAGTGGTCGCCCAAGGTTTTGATTGCTTGTTACCTGGTTCTTCTGCCATTGGTGTGGGGTTCGGTTCCCCCTTCCTTAATGCTTTTCCTTTAGAAGTATGTGGTTGTACTATACTCTGGTAGAGTACAAACTCCTGGTGAGCAACCTTTTCCGTCACACCGTCCCACCCCAAATCCTTATCCTGACCCCTTCCAAGTGCTATATAGCTATAATGGCTTGGCACTTTCCCCTGATAATTCCCTCCCTCCCACTTCATAGCATCAGCATAGCTACATGACTACTGAAACTTAAATTGAAGCCAAATCAAAACTCATACTCACTAGTCTCTCGACGAGAGTGCTAGGTTTCTGCCTCATAATTTAATTGCTCCAAAATCATTTCCATAAATTGTGGCACTGATACAGAAATATCATGACACAGAAAATCACTTTAAAATATCACTTGAGGCACATACATAGACATAAGTAAAATAAATTCCTGTCTGTTCCTTGGAACAGCCTACTATGAAGGAAGTGGAAGGAGGGACAAATTTAATCTGCCTGGTTTTGCAACTGGCTCTCTGCTTCCATATAGGGTTAACCATGGGGTTATCTTGAGGTTATCTTGAGATGCTTTCGGGGCTTTAGTGTCCCCGCGGCAAGTCCTCGACCAGGCCTCTATCCCCAGGAAGCAGCCCGTGACAGCTGACTAACACCCAGGTACCTATTTTATTGCTAGGTAACAGGGGCATAGGGTGAAAGAAACTCTGCCCATTGTTTCTCGCCGGCGCCTGGGATCGAACCCGCGACCACAGGATCACATGTCCATCGTGCTGTCCGCTCAGCCGACCGGCTCCCTACTGGGAGCCTGTCCGCTCCCGACCGGGTTATGGATGTGTTGTCTCACTTCTGTCGCATTTGTATGGAATGGACCACCGATGACGTGTCCTTCCGTTGGATCTGCGAGACGTTTGGTTGCTCCAAGGTGGACTTTTACATTTCAGTGTCAAGCCAGTGCCTTCTTCCAGAGTTATCCAGTGTAAACTACTACTTCATTTGCATGTTCCTCCCTTGTTGTTCTGCCTTCTTATGTGTCTTTTAAGAAATTCCTCATCTTGCATCGCCTTTATACTCACATTCTTATTTTCACGCTGCTACTCCAGGTGACCCAGTAATAGACGGGACAAAGTGCAGACAGTCTTGGCACTCCTTAGCACTGATGCTGCTTGGTACAATGGTTTCTTGCACTGCAGTGAAATTCCTACATTTGGGTTCACTGACAACTGTGGTCCACTCATTCACCCCACACACTAACTCGGATGTACTACTCCACACACTTGGAGATAAACACTTATCTTGGATCTTGTTGCCTCAAGGCTTCCCGCTGTCAATTGCTTGTGCTCTAGGCTGGTCTGGAAGCACTATGCTGCAACACAGGGAATTAAGAGTAAACACCAGTCCCTTCTCCACCCAGTGGCCCAATGGCCGTGCGCATCTGGCGGTCAGTGGGGAGCAGTGGTTGCCTCCCGAAGCGGCAAGGGGATGAAGGAAAAAAAAAAAATTGCCCTACAGGCAATCGAGCATCAGAAAGTCAGAGTCTATTCTGGTATGCAGTGGCCCTTCACTCAGGCTCACGAGGCTGCTTCTACCGCACCATACTGCTCACTGTCACTAAACAATTAGCTGCAGTGCACTCAGGCACTTCACTGCCTCACTTCTTACTGATTCTGGCCTCAGAGTAGTAGGTGTTTCTTACTCTTCACTTCCTCGTTCTCTCAACCACTTGGGCTGGACAGTAGAGCGACGGTCTCGCTTCATGCAGGTCGGCGTTCAATCCCCGACCGTTCAAGTGGTTGGGCACCAATCCTTCCCTCCTGTCCTTATCCTTATCCTGATCCCTTCCAAGTGCTATATAGTCGTAATGGCTTGGCGCTTTTCCCTTGACAGTTCCCTCCCTTCCTCGCTCTCTTTGATGGGCTGTAGAATCACACAGACAGCAGGACTGCACGTGGTTCTCACAGCTTGCCTAACTCTTGTCACTGCTGGTTCTCGCTACCCAGGACTGGCCTTAGAAACACCATACAGTTACAGAAGGCTAGGCTGCAGACACCCCTCACAATGGAGCTTCCTGCCCATCTGTTACATTTGAGCTTGTGATCAAGCTCAATTGTAATGGCTGGGCAGGCAGTTCGCTATTGGTCCTTGTGAACCACTAGTGAATTTCTGACTTGCACTCCTCTTGCAGCAAGTAGAATTCTCTTACCTATTCCTTCCAAAGAGTTTGCTTATGGGCGTTATTCTCATTACTCTGGTTTCACTGCTCCCTGGACTGGCGGGTTTGGGCCCTACTTGTGTAGACTACTCCTTTGTTCCTTTACTCCTCATCAGCTCTCGTCTTCGGCTATCTCTTTGGTTTTTTTTGGGATTAGTTTCCATGGTCTCATCCTCCTCCATTGCTCGATATGTTAGTGTAAGCTTTGGCTCTAAGTTGGGGCTTCATGACTCGTGCTCACTATGTCACCCAGGGCTGGTGGCCGGGCCTGTTCGTTTGGGCACACAGTACGGTGCACAAGTTTGAACTGTGTGACATGCCCTGAGGAGGATTCAACTCCCTCTGTGTTCAGTGCTCCGGCTCCACTTTAGCTGCTTCCCGGAGATTCATTGCCCGAGCCGAGGGGGGTCACTTTGGTCCATTGCCCTGTGTAGCTAGATGTTTACAAATAATTCGGACAACTAAACCCCGACAAATGGGGTTTGGTTCTCCGCATGGTATGTTTGAGGTGTTCAACATTCATGTGGATGGGTTATCTCACTCCGTCCCATTTCTATGGAATGGATTGTCTGACGTATCCTTCCGTTGGATCCGCGAAACATTTGGTTGCTCCAAGGTGGACCTTTACATTTCAATATCGAACCAGTGCCTTCCCTCCTACATGCATCTATTCCCCAATTGTATGGCTCTTGTGGCAGATGCCTTTCAATCAGACTGGTCAACATGGAGGTGCATTTACCTTCCCCTCCCACCCCATTTTTAGTTCAGTTGTAGCTCAGGGTTCTATCCATTTTGGAATTGTATTTGGAGAGGAGGTAAATCACATGTGGAGTTGTTTGGCGTTTTCAAGGCTTTGATTTTTGTTAACCCTCCTGTTGTGTGTAAAGCTTCGCTGACTTACTGGACTTTCCTGGTGTGGTGGCGTATTGTCACTTTCTTTCTGTGCTTCGTGAGGGGGGAGGGCTAGGTTTTAGCTCTAGTCCCCAGTAAGCCAAACAGAACTCCTACATCTGATGTGACCCATTTGTATGGAGGTCCATGGTTGTTCAACATCTTGTCAGCAAGTATAAGAAATATTGCTGGAACAACCGTGGATATCTTCAAGAGAAAACTAGATTGTTTTCTTCAAGAAATGCCAGAAGCTCTCACAAGTCAAACCTGGCCTCGGGCTGGGCTTGGGTAGTAGAAGAACTCCCAGAACCCCATCAAACAGGTATCAAGCAGGAGCAATCTTAGCGAGATAGCTTCAGGGAGCCACCTGGGCTCATCCAGAAAGAGGCGTTTCAGTATATTCAACACCGGGTTTTTATTTGTTTTCCCTCTATATTCATTTTAATATCATTCATTTCCTCAATACAGTATGTTATTGCCCTAGTTTATGTCTCTCTTTAGTTTCTCTATATACTTTTTGTTGCCATGAAATCATTTTATAATGGATGTCAAAAATGTATAACAGTGAGTAAAAGACTGTATGAAAGAAATAACCAGATTAAAATAAGATTATGAGTATTTATTTTACATTTATTCAATCACCCACAAAATAATGTTTCGGCTAATACACACATAATCTAAATGGCATAATTTATAATGAGGATCATCCCAAAGGACAAAGGTGTGACGGAGATGGTGCAGTTCTGTGGTAAAGCAGTAACAAGTCTGAAGGCCATGACTGAGGGTGGCCGGAGGGTTCTGCTTGTTGCCGCCAAAACTACGCCGCTCATGATCCGAGATGCCATGACAGGTAATGCTCTCTTCGTCTTGTAAGATTATTTCGTGGAATGAATGACCACTTGGGCTGGACGGTAGAGCGACGGTCTCGCTTCGTGAGGGTCGGCGTTCAATCCCCGACCGTCCACAAGTGGTTGGGCACCATTCTTTCCCTCTTCCCAGTGCTATATAGCCGTGATGGCTTGGTGCTTTCTCCTGATAGTTCCTTTCCCTTCATGGAATGAATGAGGTTAATTATAAGAGCATTTGAGACAGGAATTGATTCAGAGATGGAGATTTATTCATACACATGCACATTTGTGACTTAATATTTTCTTGACAGTTGGATTAATCCGAGTAATGAGTATGAGGCACAGCACTGTAGGGACAGACACACGAGTTGTTAAAGATATGATTTATACATCATGTAGTTGCTGCATAAATATTTATTGGGAAAGAAAGGACACAATACAGCAGGAGAGAAAGTACAAATATTAAAGATGATAGCAGTCGGATGAGGAGGAGCTTAATTCGATTGAAGTTTAGAATGAAATGAATAAATGAGTATTGGGGAATGAGATGTGTCACCTGACATTATAGTCAGTTTAATTACAGAATATGAAAAATAGGGCATGTCAGGGAGCAATAAAATTAGTTTTACCCAGGCTGTTGTGGGTTGCATCTTATGTGCCAGGGGTCTTGTTCGAGCTGTGTGATTTATTTATTGGATGTTCATGTCGTAAAAAAATTGGGCATGATTGCCCAAGATTGGCATGAATGAGGTGATTTTATCAAATACCATGCCCAAGATTACCAACAGAGTGCCGGCGGGGGGATGGGGAATTAGCCTCGGCTACCATCCTCTTTTGTCCGGTCGTGTTGGTGGAGTGGTTAAGGGATCCTGTACATCAGATGCATTGCTTCTGGCAGTATGGGTTATAACTGTGTATTGGGTTGTCACTTCATTGTATCCTTCCTGTAATTATCTTGGTCAAGACAACATGCTGTGACGGGCAAGACAACATCAATGGGGCTAAGCTGTCTTGCAATGCTGCAGAATGACCATACTGCAAATGATTCCATTAATAGCGTGGCTAACACAGTGCTAATTTGAGAGCCCATTCCCATATTGAATTGTTGATAGTGAGCGACAAACCAAAGCCTAAATAATGGTTTTGTTTATGTTTGTTAATAAAATTACTACCTGGTAGAGTATAGTCATTGTTAGAAGAAAGTAGTTGTTGTTTTAATAGTCGTCAGGATTTGTTAGTGGCAGCCTAGTGGCAACTACACATAAGAGGCATAACTGGCAAACCCCTCACAGTGTTCAAGAGAGAACTGGATAAACACCTCCAAAGGATACCTGATCAACCAGGCTGTGACTCATACGTCAGGCTGCGAGCAGCCGCGTCTAACAGCCTGGTTGATCAGTCCAGCAACCAGGAGGCCTGGTCGACGACCGGGCCGCGGGGACACTAAGCCCCGGAAGCACCTCAAGGTAGCCTCAAGGTAGGTAGGTAGGTAGCCTTGATAAGCAGCTAGATGACATCCAAACCAACTACCGTAACTAATTCTTTACCACCTTGATGTTCCAAATTCTGTGTACTAATTTTGCACAAACAAATTTAAATAATGTGAGCAAGTGAGTGTGTGAGTGAGGAGTACTGCCAGTACCAGGAGTGATTGGTTGCATGGCAAAGTTAGGTTCATGGAGTTTTGGCATATTCTATGTGCAGGGTGATCTCGGGTTTTGTGGGAACTAGTTGTGAAGTTACTTGCTGGTGCTAAACTGCTTCAATAGTTTTGTATTTTCATACACCTCTGGGAGGCCTGGTCGAGGACCAGGCCGCAGGGACGCTAAGCCCCAAAATCATTGCAAGGTAAGGTAACGTCTTGGGTTACTGTGGTGTAGGTCTCGGCAAAACTGCAGAAGAGAGAGAGAGATGTCTAACGACCTAACGTTTAAGGAGCATAACCAAGTAAATATTGTGTCAGCCAGAAAAATGATAGGATGGATTACGAGAACCTTCAAATCCAGGGATCCCATCACAATGGTTGTACTATTCAAATCACTTCAAATCACTATTCTTTATCGCTGACTATTAATTCATACCCATTGTTGTCATTTTCATTTGCAATTCAAACTTGCCAGTTCTCTTGATGTTTTTAATTACCTCATCATTTTTGACTAGTTGTGGCATTGCTCTTATCACTTGTCTTAAAGATCCTCATGCGCCCGAGTACCATCGTGCCATGTACTAAGTTCAGGCCTCTGTTCCTGTGCCGTGTTGTCAAGTTTACTCAGTCATAGGCCTATCTCTGTGCTCATGATCTGTGCAAGTTCACTTAACACAAAAGGCTTTCTTCTCTGTTGTGTCCTGTGGTGACTTTTTATTGCAAACCTGTAGTTTGAAGTCTGTGTTCATGGTTAATGTGGATCTTTCTTGATTGAGATCTCCTCCCTTCCCTGCAGTACCCTCTGATAACACACAAGCACAACTATACTGTATTCTGCCTATGAGTATATTAGAAATGCCTTTCTCAGCATGGCACTTGGTTCACCTGTTCCCTCTCGTCTGTCTCGTCTTTTCTTGTGTTTTGTCGTTATGTGAGTCTTGGTATTGTCTTGGCCAGTTAACTAGTGTTTAAAAGAGCATTTCTTGACAGTCTGACTGTGAGTGTACAGTATAGTTGTTGAATGAGCTTTCTTGAGGCGATGACCCAATGAATATGTAAAAAAAAGGATTGCCATTGTGCCAGTGTGAAATGTCAACCTGTCGATACTATGTACTGGCCTGTCCATGAGACCTTGGGACAGTGGGACCTTGCTTGGGGGAGCAACCAAGTGCCATGCTCAGGAAAGAACTTTTCATTTAAATTCTAAGCTATATTTCCCTGCATTTGTAATTTGTTTAGAGAGATATCGTAGTGTTTTGTAGCTAAGTATGTGAGTAGAACATTGCATATCTGACTATATCCGTCTCTCTAGGTCTGTTTTTGCGCACGTTGGAGCACATACAGGTGACAGTGTATGCAACTGTGTCACACGGAGGACTTCTCTACACCGGTGGCTCAAACAAGGCCATTGTGTATTATGACTTTACGGTTAGTTTCTTTATCTCTACACTAAAAAATGTCATGCTTTTATAGCAATTTCCTTAACTTTAAGATGATGGTAAATCCACGGTAAGTTCATTCAGGTATTTTAAAGTATTATAGTATCAATAATAACTATAATATGTTTTAAACTTAATTTAAAGTTTCTGAAAATTTTAGATTTTTTTTCCCTGGAGAGCGGAGCTGCTGACCTAGGCTCCTTGCCCGGAGCAGCAGCTCTGTTCTCTGCATGTTTGGAGTTTTACTCTTGACTATTCTGCCTCTTGGCCAGAATAGTCAAGCCCCCAAGCCCTCTGCATGTTTGGGGTTTTACTCTTGACTATTCTGCCTCTTGGCCAGAATAGTCAAGCCCCCAAGCCCTCTGCATGTTTGGGGTTTTACTCTTGACTATTCTGCCTCTTGGCCAGAATAGTCAAGCCCCCAAGCCCTCTGCATGTTTGGGGTTTTACTCTTGACTATTCTGCCTCTTGGCCAGAATAGTCAAGCCCCCAAGCCCTCTGCATGTTTGGAGGTTCAGGTGTTTTCCCACTTTCCTGCCTTCACTTAGGTTGGGAGTGACAGTGGCTGGTGTGGGGCATACTGGGTATTAGCTTGCTCTACTGTAACACACTGAGGTAGGCCTTCCTAACTGCAGGAGCCAGCCTGTGTTTGCTTACTATGATGTTTCTATACCTTCGTTGAGGAAGGCAAAAAAAGGGGGGGATATATGCCAAACAGGGGATATATTGCTTTTGTATAGATTCAACAACACATTTTCTCATCAAGTCCGGCATAGTGTCCCAGTGCCTGAGTGTCCCATTTAGTCAATTGTTTTGGACCCCAAAAATCCCCTGCAGGTTCGGTGGTCGTCCTGTTTGGACCCGTGTGTTTCTGCGCTCATCTTATGCAAACTTCAGGGTTGTTCAGTGTCCTTGCCACGTGACGCCATTCAGTCCTCCTGCCTCCAAGCTGCCTGTTGGTTCAGTGACACCATCGATACTGAGTCATGTAGGGGTTGTTCTTCCCATATGCTCTTCTGATGGCCCTCTTCTTGGGGCTTTTCAGTTAGTAACCACTTTGTGTCATGGTTTGCAGTGATCTGGATTGTGTCTGGTTGGCTGCCCCAGAGCTACCCCTTTGCTGGTTAAAACCCTGGACCTGAAGGTGTTGGGTAACTTCTCCCTTGGTTTTGTCCGCACCTCCTTCCAGTTGGGGTTTACCCCCCCCCCCCCCTTCCTCTTCTTTCCCCTTCGTGCCAACCCGGTGACGTCTGAGGGTTCCTGTTTCAGGACGGGGTTTAGTTTAGGATGTGACTAGGGCGGCTCCTGGGGTTACCCCTTCTGATTCGGGCACAGAGGCAGTTGAGCCTGCTTGTCCCACTGGTGCTTTTGGGTGTTCGTTCAGCCAGCCCCTTCTTCCTCTCCTGTATTCTCTCCTTGTTCCTTGCTTTGTTTCCAACTCCCTCTTTCAGTTCTACAATTTAATTTCTATGTCCACTCATGTTGGTACTCTTCCTCTACCTCATTTTCTTGTTTAATCTTTCACTATTTTATGTTGTTGTTGTTGTTGTTTAGTGTTGTGATCTTAAACTTTAAGAATGCTTTTCTCCATAGACGCCTTGGATGGTTGAGTGCGTGGCTGCCTCACTTGTTTACCCGCACCTTATTTCGGATCAGGTCCCTGCCTTACCCTGTCCAACTGGTCACAGTGTGCTTCTTTACTACTTCTGAATTGTTTGTGGAATTTTGGTATTTTCGAGTCTTCCTCTTCTGTGAATCGTCTAGTTGTCTGTAAAGCCTCGGTGATTTTCTCTACACTTTTCCAACTTGTCACTCGCTCCCTGCACCTCTGTGATGGGGGGGGCCAGGTTCTGGCTCTGGTCTTCAGGAGGCCAAACAGAAGTTCTGCAACTGATGTGGCTTCAAATATGGAGGCGTCTCAACTTGATAACTTCAGGGAGCCTCCAGGGGACTTTCCTAGAAAACAAGGTTGAGCTCTTACTGATGATGAGATCGTACACATTCCTCACATGAGTGTATTACATAAATACTGTTTCATTTCTTACATTCGTACGTGCTCTTTAAAACTATTATTATTTTGTAAAACAAAATGCAGCATGTAATTGGTATATACAATATTTTATTTACTGCATTTTCAAACAATTGAACATTTAAATGTTGTTTTCACAGACGGGTAGCAGCAGAGGACACATAGCAAGTGAGGCTGACGTGTCGTGTCTCAGCATCTACAAAGGTCGCCTCGTTGCCACGTGTTATGATGGACTCGTCCGAGTATTTTGCCTGGCTGTATGTTTATTGATATTGAGTATAACAAGCCCCTGTTTGATGAATATTATATATATAACTAGGCTAATGTAATAAGTGTCAATTATTGCACTTAACAAGCAGACATTAAAAAAATTTTAACGATTACTTAAATGTAAGTTTTCATCCTGACTATACACACATATGTATGCATTGTGCAATTGTTTACTATGCATTTCTGAGCTCTCCCACTTTGCTTGCCCCTGTGGTAAGCTTCTGCTGTCGTGTGGTAGGCAGAGCGTCATACTAGGTACAAGTGCCACAGGGAACTTTCCTAAATCCCTGAACAGTCATACTGGTTCTAGTGAGCTGTAGAAAACTTGCATTCATAAATACTCAAAGCTTTTACATACTCTCTTTTGGCAACCCCAAGATTAAGGAAATCCCTATATCACTGCTTGACTCATGCAACCGCCTATTCCTCCTACAAATTAAGTTAAAACATCTGAATCAAAATACGATCCACTATCCAAAGCCTCGACACATCCTCTCCGACTATAGTCATGCTAAAGAAACAAGTGGAGAGCCAGTGTGATCTCTGGGTTGCCAAGGAGGCTATGTAAAGAATTTGTGTATTTATAGCTTTTTATAGCTCATTTAGGCAGATGCTAGTAGTCGTAAGTACTAGTTTGAGCCTGCAAGGACATTAGATAAGATTCCTATACACTTGTACCTGGACTATCACCCTGCATGATTTGCTCCTGCTATAGCAGTGAAATCTTACTTAGGGAAAGGGAATATATGTTGACCAAACCACACACTAGAAATTGAAGACAACGATGTTTCGGTCCGTCCTGGACCATTAGCAAGTCGATTGTGGTCCAGGACGGTCCGAAACATCGTCATCTCTTCAATTTTTAGTGTGTGGTTTGGTCAACATTATTCAGCCACGTTATTGTGACTTTTCATCTACAAAGGGAATATAGACTCATCTATATTGATGATGGATGATTATGAGCAAGTGAATCAACTCATAATGCAGTTTTCATACACTCAGAACTTGTTTCTTCACAGACTGGCCAGCTTTTACAAAGAATACCGGTTGAAGCTACAAATAAAATTTTCATTTGCTCAGCATTGTATAAAGACAGAGTAAGTATTTATTTGGAGTTTCCTTGTGGTTAGCCACTAATGTGTATATTCATTATGTATGTACAGTACTGTACATAATTTTGTTTGTGTTAAGGGTATTTATGTTATGTATATACTGCTATATATAGGGTGCCACAGCCAGTGCTAAACAGATCATTCACAGCAGCACGCAACTGCTTCATAAGGATCTTCTTGAGGTTATCTTGAGATGATTTCGGGGCTTTTAGTGTCTCCGCGGCCCGGTCCTCGACCAGGCCTCCACCCCCAGGAAGCAGCCCGTGACAGCTGACTAAGACCCAGGTACCCATTTTACTGCTTGGTAACAGGGGCATAGGGTGAAAGAAACTGCCCATTGTTTCTCGCCAGCGCCCGGGAACGAACCCGGGACCACAGGATCACAAGTTCAGTGTGCTGTCCGCTCGGCCGACCGGCTCCCATTCCAGTCGTGCATAGGTCTCATAAGTTGTTGTAGAGCTATGGCAAACATTAACTCATGGGGAGCCGGTCGGCCGAGCGGACAGCACGCGGGACTTGTGATCCTGTGGTCCTGGGTTCGATCCCAGGCGCCGGCGAGAAACAATGGGCAGAGTTTCTTTCACCCTATGCCCCTGTTACCTAGCAGTAAAATAGGTACTTGGGTGTTAGTCAGCTGTCACGGGCTGCTTCCTGGGGGTGGAGGTCTGGTCGAGGACCGGGCCGCGGGGACACTAAAAAAGCCCCGAAGTCATCTCAAGATAACCTCTTGTTTTTGGTTTAACACGTTTTGGTTTTGGTAAAACAAGATTATCACTTGTTTTGTTTACCATCAGTGTAGTCCTAGCTTGGTTCCTCAAGCTGGTTAAAGTGTACAACACGTGTCAGGGTTTAGGTGGAGAGATGCTAAAATAAGATCTTCAAATTCGGTAACAAGAAATGTATACACTATTAATTTTTATGTAATCCATTTGTGTTTCAGTTACTGGTGGGAAACAAGAAGGGAGAGGTGGTGGGTTGTCACCTGGCGCAGCTTGCTAGTCAACCTGGCCAGAGTAACTCGTCACAATAAAGCTGTCTGGCATTCCTTGGCAGTGGAGGCCCAGCAAGTTGGAGATGTGACAGCCAACTTGGAGATGCGGCTTCCACTCAAGATGGAAACGGGACAAAATTAATATTTCTCCTACGAAGAATCGGTGCTCAGATATTTGTTTAGAATATTAGGTGAGATTTTAAGAATGTTTATGAAAAGTTTAGCCACTAGATGACTGCCTTCAGTTGGTGTACATATAGTTTTCTGAAGTGTAGACTTATTTGAGTCTGGCTCAATCTTGCTCACTATCTACAGAATTGTGTTCTCCAGTCTTGTGTCCATCCAAATGTTGATGATTAATCTTTTTTAAGCTGTGGAATCATAATAAGCATATCCCTTTGTAGAATGTCAAATCTTTATTGTATACCGGACTAAGAAGTCTTTCAGCAAATCATTGTTTGCGAAGCGAAAGTTATTTTAATGATGCAACCTTCGATACATAAAAGGCGATATTTTTAAAATGAGAACCCAGCTTGGCCATTCATAATAGTGTCAGCACCCGTGGTTGTTAACTCTTGCCGAACCCCTTGTGGTAAAGTTCGGGATTTCCATTAAAAAAAAATAAAATACTTTGTCCTATGATGTCTTTCATAAGTGAATTTGTAGATCTCTGTGTTTTATACACAAATGTAAACATTTCTTTTCCTTGGTGGTGTCACTGGTTAAGAAAACATTTTGTTTAAGCTGGAATATTTTGCAGTTTGTAACTGTTATTTGTTATTGATTTTACAGGTCTATGTCCTGGAATTTTGCACTCAAGCACAAAACGTTTTATGTGATACTGGGCTGTGTTCAGGAAATGCGGCAGTGATACATTCTCAGAACTATAGAGCCAACTGAGGCACATGTGGTCAAGTGTTCTATTCACAATTTGTGTCAATTCTAAATACAAATATTAAAACATAAAATAGGTTGAAAATGGGATGATTTACATCGCTTCTAATCATGTTAGAAGTTCATCAGCAGATTAGACGAACTTATAAGTTTTAACCAATTTTGTTTTAATTGCACTGTTGGTATGTATGTCTTAACATTGTGGAATCTTTATTACAAATTGCCAAGAAAAGTTTGCACTAAGCCAAACATCTGGAACTGAAAACGTACCACAATTCCTAATGAGGCACTTCTCTGTACCCGTAAATATGTTTTGAGAAAACCCAAGATAAAAATTAACTTTGTAAGTCCGAGTGTAGTGCTGCTCATTTTATGCCGTATACAATGGTGGGTTACCAGGTGTTAGCGTAACATTGTGAATGTGAGCTAGACTCGCAGTGGCGTTGGTGGTTGCTGTACGAGGATGAATACCTGTACTGTCTTTTGTGAAGGTGGCCCAAGGACTTGCTAGTCAGGCTCAAACATTGGCCATGATCTTTCATTATTTTCATTATTTCATTATTTTCATTATTCTCTTTCATTATTTTCTGTTAAGGTACTGTAAATTTATTATTTTTTCAGGATTCTCGGGATATTAGTGTTTTGCTCATACAGATCTCAAACATAACATTTGTTGTCAAATTTTAATGTTTATCACATACTTGCTGTTTATATAAATAAATAAAATCCAATCTGAATGATTTTATTTCTATATACAAATTTGTGTGTGTGTGTGTGTGTACCTCGCATCTAATTTAACAAAGTCTGATATAAAAAAGTTTTATAAATATGCCAGACAGAGAGATCTACATGAACTCCACAAATGGTCAGACTAGCAAATACTTTTTATTAATATCGACAAATGGAAGACCTTGCATGTGGGGCATAACAACCCACATCACAACTACCAAATTAATACCATTACATTATAGCAGATTGATGAAGAAAAGGATATTGGAGTCAAAATTCATCATTCGCTAAAAGTTGCACAAGAAGGGAACGGCAGTAAAAAAAAAAGTAAACCAAACCCTTGGAATAATCAAGCGTACCTTTACCTTTAAGGGAAAGAAGGTAAGTCATTCGTATGTATAAATCACTGGTGTGCCCCCACCTGGATTTTTTTTTTTTTTTTTTTTTTTTTTTTTTTTTTTTTTTTTTTTTTGTGATATATACAAGAGTTGTTACATTGTTGTAGAGCCACTAGTACGCGTAGCGTTTCGGGCAAGTCCTTAATCCTATGGTCCCTGGAATACGATCCCCTGCCGCGAAGAATCGTTTTTTCATCCAAGTACACATTTTACTGTTGCGTTAAACAGAGGCTACAGTTAAGGAATTGCGCCCAGTAAATCCTCCCCGGCCAGGATACGAACCCATGACATAGCGCTCGCGGAACGCCAGGCGAGTGTCTTACCACTACACCACGGAGACTGCTCAACCATTTCATCCAGGCATGGAGACCTCATCTTCAGAAAGACATTGCTGCTCAGGAGAAAGTGCAACACTGGGGGGCAACAAAAAATCATTCCAGAACTACGACAACTCATACCAGGAACGGTTGATGGCCACAGGGGTAAAACACTGCAAACCAGGCATGACAGGGCGGATCTCATCGAAACTTATAAAATGCTGAACAGTTTGAAGGATATTGATTCGGACATCGGTCGGCCAAGCGGACAGCACACTGGACTTGTGATCCTGTGGTCCTGGGTTCGATCCCGGGTGCCAGCAAGAAACAATGGGCAGAGTTTCTTTCACCCTATGCCCCTGTTACCTAGCAGTAAAATAGGTACCTGGGTGTTAGTCAGCTGTCACGGGCTGCTTCCTTGGGGTGGAGGCCTGGTCGAGGACCGGGCCACGGGGACACTAAAGCCCCGAAATCATCTCAAGATAACCTCAAGATCTTCAAAAGGCGAGATGTAACACGAACAAGGAACAACTGCTGCAAGCTCAACAAGTCCCACAATGTAGAACTGAGACCAGGAGATGCTCTTTCACCCACAGGATTATTAACCAGTGGAACCGCCTACCCGCCAAAGCCGTAACTGCCAAACAAATTTTAAATTTTAAACTCGGGTGGAAAAAAATCATCCTAGCAAATTAGGAACCTTTGACAAGCTGCCGATTTTCTGTCGTCGTCGAGGCCTCTAGAGTATTTATGGCAGTCACGTAAATTCAGGTAAATGTTCACTCACAGGATGAGTAACGCTGCCCAGTACTGCGACTATGGTGTGTGTTCACTCACAGGATGAGTGGCAGTGTCCAATACTGTCACTATGGCGGTGTGTCTACTCACAGGATGAGTGACGCTGCCCAATACTGTCACTATGGCGGTGTGTCTACTCACAGGATGAGTGACGCTGCCCAATACTGTCACTATGGCGGTGTGTCTACTCACAGGATGAGTGGCGCTGTCCAATACTGTCACTATGGCGGTGTGTCCACTCACAGGATGAGTGGCGCTGCCCAATACTGTCACTATGGCGGTGTGTTCACTCACAGGATGAGTGGCGCTGCCCAATACTGTCACTATGGCGGTGTGTTCACTCACAGGATGAGTGGCGCTGCCCAATACTGTCACTATGGCGGTGTGTCCACTCACAGGATGAGTGGCGCTGCCCAATACTGTCACTATGGCGGTGTGTTCACTCACAGGATGAGTGGCGCTGCCCAATACTGTCACTATGGCGGTGTGTTCACTCACAGGATGAGTGACGCTGCCCAATACTGTCACTATGGCGGTGTGTTCACTCACAGGATGAGTGACGCTGCCCAATACTGTCACTATGGCGGTGTGTTCACTCACAGGATGAGTGGCAGTGTCCAATACTGTCACTATGGCGGTGTGTCCACTCACAGGATGAGTGGCGCTGCCCAATACTGTCACTATGGCGGTGTGTTCACTCACAGGATGAGTGGTGCTGCCCAATACTGTCACTATGGCGGTGTGTTCACTCACAGGATGAGTGACGCTGCCCAATACTGTCACTATGGCGGTGTGTCCACTCACAGGATGAGTGGCGCTGCCCAATACTGTCACTATGGCGGTGTGTTCACTCACAGGATGAGTGACGCTGCCCAATACTGTCACTATGGCGGTGTGTCCACTCACAGGATGAGTGGCGCTGCCCAATACTGTCACTATGGCGGTGTGTTCACTCACAGGATGAGTGACGCTGCCCAATACTGTCACTATG